AAGTGAGACAATCCAGCTCAACGGACTCCAGAGTTTAAAAACCAGGCGGGAAAACACAGCGACGCTTCATCGGAGGCTGCATTGATGATGTTACCCAGCACGGTAACGAAATGTCTGCGGAACAACAAACCAGCTCGGCGAGCCAACAAACCTCAACACCAACCTCAACACCCACAACCCGAGCTACAAATCTACTCCAACACCTTAGACATGTACTTAGTGAGCTGAAACTTGCAAACCTTAGATAATGACACTGTGGTGTCTATGACTTCTTTTATTGGAATGATTTAGCTGAACATCCATGAAATTGAAGATATTCAAAAAGCCCTACACACGGTTCCTTAAGCAAAAATAATTCCGTATTTTGAAAAGATTACATTGAAGACTTATGCTTAAATTGTTTAAGATCACCGCTTGCTGAAATGTCATTGGATCAGTTCTAATTATATATATTTTTGGCTCCTTCAGCAGTAGGACATATTGAAACAGATTTTGTATGTCAGTAGTTAAAGTTAAACTGCAATGCAGAGAAAAATGAATTCAGCTGGACCACAGGACTGAGTATGTTTTAAAAGCTTGAATGTATATTGAAGATCTCTTAATGCAAGGAATAGATTAGCTCAGCTGGCTGAATAGCTGGTTTGTAATGCAAAGTGATGCCAACTACATGGGCTCAATTCCCACACTGGCTGAGGTTACTATGAAGGATTCTCCTCCTCAACCTCTCCCCTCACTTGAAGTGTGGTGATCCTCTCCCTAATGAGAGCAGCCCTGCGGTCTGGTAAGACTATGGTGAATTTGCCTTGACCTTTTTAATGTTCGTTGATTACATGGTAAAACAATCTGTGGTAATGCAAACTCCCCATGATCACAGTCACTTGCTCGACCTTGGCATTTCCCATGACCTCAATACTCCCATAGTATCAGTCTAGGCATTGTATCAAATAAGGCTCTCACTGTCCAATTCCTTGCATTGCTCTCCACTCGTAACATACTTCCTGCTCCAAATCCTATTTCCTTCTTTATTTGCCCTCTGGAAAAGTAGTGTCTTGATTGAACTGACAACTGCCATCTAAAAATGCTCATTACTTAGCCCCTTCATTCACCACAACGTTTCTGCAGCTTACAATAATGTTCAACAACAACATTCACTTGGTCCCAGTCAACACTATAATCACTCTCATATAGTTGTTTCCATAGTAATGACTGTCATCTCAGCTCCCCTAAATCCAAGGACTGCAGATTTGAAAGGATATGGCAGACAATTGATCACTACCAAATCTGGCAGGATAACAAAGTGCTATTAAGTCCTACTCTTGTTTGGAAAACTGCAGACTATTCGAGGATGTTCTGGTATCCCTTTCTCTGCAACAAGCTTCACAGAATCCCTACAGTGTGATAGCAGCCATTCGGCCCATAAAATCCACTACGACCCTCTGAATAGCATCCAACCCAGACCCACCTCCCTACTCTATCCTTGTAACCCTGCATATCCCATGGCTTATCCATCTAGCCTGCACATCCATGGACACTATGGGTAATTTAGCATGGCTAATCCATCTAACCTGCATATCTTTGGACTGAGAGGGGAAACCGGAGCACCCGGAGGAAACCCACGCAGACAAGGGGAGAATGTGCAAACTCCACACAGACAGTCACCTGAGGGTGGTATTGAACCTGGGTCTCTGGCTCTGTGAGGCAACACTGCTACTCATCTTAAATCTCTCTTGCCAATCTCCTCCATCCTTATCTTCAACAAGTGCAAGGAGCTTCTTTGTCACCGACATTGAGATAAACTAATCAGTTGCCTGCCACCATCCCAGTTCCCATAACTCACCCAGGCTAAAATTTCACGAAGCATCCCACTGCCCTAGCCCTAAACTTGCAACTTTCTTTAGTTTGTCTCCCATCTTGCCTCATACTCTCTCTGAAATCATTTGCCTACAAGATGCACCTACTGCCCTTTTCATACTCCTCCCAATAAACTACTGACCATCTAACTTCCCTTTGTGGCTGCTATATTAGCTGGCTGTTCGTTTCTATGCTTTTCTGTATAGTCGCAATCAAAGAAATGTCATTTCCACAGAGTTGCCTCATGTGACCCCCAAGGATCTATCCATGCCTATTCTTCTATTTCTCATTTACATGTGGTTTCTCCATGGCAGCATCCAAAGCCCATCAGTTCCACAAGCACACTGACTGAAGCCAGTTCTACTGTATCACTTCTCTCAAATTCTCCATATCTCTAAATTGTCAAATTGCTCATGTGAGATCCAGTACTGGACGGGCAGAAATTTTCTCCAAATAAAGACTGCAAAGACAGTGTTCGATTTTCCATCATTAACTCCATCCTTCTCCCTAGGAACTGCTTGGTGCCAAATTGTTCTGTCTGAAGCTCGATGTAATGTGCGATCCCAAGATGAGCTTTCAACCACATAAGAGTTCTGTCACTTAAGTGTTCATCTCTGTAACATTGCTTGACTTCCCCTCTGTCAACTCATCTGCTATTGAAACCCTCATCAGTGCCTTTGTCACCTCTAACAAGCCTCCTACCTAATCAGTGGAACAAGCTTTATTGCTGGTGGTCGATTTAAGAAATTCTCCAAAAACTGAGGAAAGTGCCTAGACGTTGAAATTGAACCTGAAGTTCCTACTCAGTTAAAGAAAGATATTAGAACCCATTGGAAGCTGGAAAACACTGCAAGTTGTTTGCTAGAAAGACTGTATTTCTGTGAGGAGTGTGATGTGTAGTGAGTATAAAACAGAAATATTAATTTAAGTTTAATTATTATTATTATTAAAGAAATATTAAGTTGCCTACAAAAATAAAATGGTGTTTCATCAATAATCTTTTTTGTTACACTTGATGTTTTAAAATTTTGCCTGGTCTTTTTTTCAGCTATTAATTAGAATTTTGAATCCCTAAAAGTTATTGATCTTCATGGGGCTGTAATATTCTGCTCTAATACTTCCTAATGTGATTTGGTATCATCTTTTTCCTCATACTGCCTCTGTGAAGCAGTTTGGAATGGTTTATCATCTTAGAAGCATTATATAAATAACAGCTGTTCTAGGATACAAATATCTCAGTTTGATTGAGACATACAGTAAAAATAGAATAATCTCAAATCAATTGTCTATTCCTGCAAATTCTCCACAGTTGTGTGAAACAATTCTAGAAATGAAGATAAAAAGCTATGAAATTGATGCAATTTTACTGATGGCAAGTATGTAGGCAATCATTCTGAAAACTGATTGATCTGTGCCTGAGGATCACTGGACAACTACTATATGAAGAATTGTAAAATTAATATTGCTACATTAGACCTTGATCTCAAGGATGACATTAACAGGTGTTATGCTGGCAAAGTAGGCCTGCCATATTCTGAAGCAGCATATATTAGGGTTAACACTAATGATTCTAAATTCTTCTCTCAGCCATTGAAAATAAACATACCTTTGTATTAACTTGAATGTAACCCAAGTAGTCCCGAACTTTGACTTTGTGCCAATAATGGTAAAAAAAATTGTTGCAAAATAACTGCCACATAATATTCATTGTACGCTTGGTTCACAGAATGAAGCTACAATTCGTGCATCAATCTCCTAACAATTTCACTCCCAGGGATCAAAGTTTAGCATAATCAACATTATGCTCAACTAGGTACAGCTTCATTGGATCTGTTACATCACTTGGATGTACAGAAAGTGGCTTCTGAAACGCAGAAACATGTTGGGATGTCCTGAAGATATGAAGATGCTTTGCGTGAATTCAAGTTCTTATTTCTTAGCCAAAACTATGAATTCCTGTAGGAAATGCTTTGTCAGATACATTTTGATCAAAAAAAGTCAACACAGTAAGTATTCATCCTCTAGAAAATAAGTCTGGGGATTTAGTAATGGAAGATAAAGGAGAAAGCAGACAAACTGAACAGATATTTTGCATCAGTCTTCACAAGAGGGGATACAAGTAACATCCTGGAAACAGATGTAAATCAGAAATTGAAAGGGAGGGAGGAACTCCAGAAAATTACAATTACCAGGGAAGCAGTAATGAGTAAATTGTTGGAACTGTAAGAAGTTCCCAGGGTTTTTTTAGTGGTTAGGTGTGTGCTGCCCCTTTAAGGACCTGGAGGCGTGCACCAGGGAGTAGTCACTGTTAGTGGCTGTGGAGCTGGGAGAACGCACAATAAAATATTCGCTGCTCAAGCTTAACCTCCATCCATCACACGTTTTATTTATGGTTCTAGTGAACCACAAACACAACTGCCAACAATGATTGGATTTGGGCCACAAACTGTGTGCGAACACCAATTTTTATGTCATAAGTAAGGACGTTACCCAGACTCTGATAACGGTGTGGGATTGTGACTGTGACGTGGAGGGAAGTAGTCGCGAGGGGGACTTGGACCGTGGTCAACGCCAGAGAAGAACAGGATGCATAGGGGAATGCGCTGACAGCAGCAGTTGTGAGGGGACCCGGGCTTCAGCCAAGGACCAAAGACAGGAGTACACACCTTGGAGTTTACCAAAGCCATTGCAGAGAGCAATCGCAAGGGGACTCAGGCTGTGGGCGACACCAGGGAAGAACGGTACGCTAACACAATCAGTGAGGGAGCAGTGACTTGGGGAGCGTTGGCATTTTACAAATTCCTACTTTACAAATAAAACCAGTCTGACTCCAAACCAAAACACAAACAGATTCTAAACAAGGCCTCACACCTAACATGCATTGTCTGATCTAAAATGTTACCTCTTCTTTATACTGATAAAACCTTTAGTTCTCTCAGGGCAGTGACTCGAAATTGAAAGGGATTTACATATACATATTAATCAATTAAAACCTTCTAACTGATTAAAAATTTAACAGCATCTCAGGTTTGTTCAATACATCCTCATCAATTATGTGACCCTTTGATCTTTTACATGTAAATTCTGTGTCCTGTGTACTTCTTTCTCGCTTCTCCTGACGAGGGGGCTCCGTGCCGAAAGCTTGTGTTTTCAAATAAACCTGTTGAATTATAACCTGGTGTCGTGTGATTTCTGACCTAAACAGTGAGATGTTGTAGAATTCTGAGATGCAGACAGGTCTGGGTGTCAAAGTGCATGAGTTACAGAAAGTTAGTATGCAGGTACAGTAAGTAATCAGAGAAGTTAAAAGAATGTTATCTTTTATTGCGAGAAGGAATTCAATGCAAAAGTAAGAAAGTTACACTTCGGTTATGGACAGCATTCGTGAGACCATATCCGGAGTACTGTGTACAGTACTCATCACCGTACCTATGGAAGGATGTTAACATTTTGGAAGTCATTCAGAGGTTTACTAAACTAATATCTGGAATAAGAGGATTGCCTTATGAGCAAAGGCTAGGCAGGCTATGCCTGTATCCTCTGGAGTAAAGAAGAGTCACAGATGATTTAATTCAACCATACAAGATCCTCAGAGGACTTGATGGAGTAGGTGTAAAACATCTCTTCTGGAGAATCTAGAACTAGAGGTCATAATTTAAAGATAGAAATTTTGTTCTTTTTCCTCTCAGAGGGTTGTGAATCTTTGGTATTCACTTCCTCAAAAGGCACTGAATGCAGAATTTTTAAATGTTTCTAAGACAGAAGTAGATAAATTCTTAATTACCAAGGGAATAAAGATTATTGGGAAAATGCAGGAATGCACAGTTGAGGTTAAAATCAGACCAGCCATGATCTTATTGAGGGATTCGAAGGGCCAAATGTTCTTTGTTCAAAAGTCTTTCCTAAGGAGGCAATAACTGTTTCACATTCTGAATTGGCATGCTCTTATCTACAAACCAATGAGAGCTTAACAGAATTGACTGTTTGTAGAAATGCAAACAGATGTACAAATATTTTGGGAAAGACAGCTCACTGTGTCACTTCCAAATTTATTTACCTTGGTCATTTGCTGTACCATCTGTGATTTTCTGTTTCAGGCAGTTTAACACATCACTGAGTTCCTCAAATAAATGATCCACACTTCCAGTAGCACATACTTTAGTCCAAAATAATTTAGCTTCTTCTGAGGAAAGGGACAGATAAGATCATCAGTATCAGGGTAATGTCACATTAAATGACTCCAGTCTATTTTTAACAAAATATTTTTAATGAGTAAATGAATACCAAGTTTATGGCTTTCAGCAGGATGAGCTTTCCTTGTTCTCAGCTTATTTTGGTAGAATCAATTCAAAACAAGCAGACTACAAACCTGGATTTCAAATTTGTCGATAATCAAATTTTATTTCAGTCTTTTTGCCAAAATCAATCAAATTAAAGCATGAGTAAAGTGGAGTTCAAATCTTGTGCTTATTTACTAAATCCCCCTTAAGGCATAAAAACAGGGGCAGGCCATTCAGCCCATTGAGTTTGCGCTGCCATTCAATGAGATCATGGCTGACTTGATAATCTTCAACACCACCCTCCTGCCTTTTCCCCATTACCCTCAATTCTGCCATGACTAAAAATCTGTTTATTTAAACCTTGAATATACTTAACAACTCAGCATCAATAGCCGTCTGTTGAACCCTCCACAGATTCACTGCCCTGAGGGGAAAAAAGAATCTTCTTTAACTCTATTTTAAATGGGTGGTCACTTACTCTGATATTATGCCCTCTTGTCCTAGATTCTCCAGTAAAGGGAGGCAGCCTCTCCAGATCTTCCCTGTCAAACTCCCTAAGAATCTGATATGTTTCAATATAGTCTCCTCTCATTCTTATAAACACCAGTGAGTACAGGCCCAACCTATTCAACCTCCCCTCATAAGAAAATCCCTCCAAACAGAAATAACCTAACAACCCTTCCCTGGACTGCTTCAAATGCCAGAATATCTTTCCTTAAATACTGAGAGATGATATCATTGAAATTAGAGATTCTAAAGGGTGCTTCACAAGGCAAATGTTGAGAGGATGTTTCCCCTCATGGGAGAGACTAGGACCACACAGCATAGTCTTAGAATAAAGGAGTGCCAATTTAAGACAGAGATGAATAGGAATTTCTTGGAGGTGGGGTGTTGAGAATCTTTGGAACTCCTTGCAACAGGCAGTTATGGGTGCAAAATCCTTGTGTATATTTATGGCCAAGGTAGATAGACTCTTGATCAGTCAGGGAATCAAAGGTTACAGTGAAAGGGCAGGAAAGTGAATGTGAGGAATGTTGGAGCCATCATGACCATACTGAATGGCAGAGCAGGCTTGAGGGCTGGATGGCCTGTTCCTATTTCTTAAGCTCTTACGAAGACCAAAACTGTTCACGGTATTCCAAGTCTGGTATGACTATATAGATTTTACACTTATTTTATATTATCCCTATGTTCATATTTCATTCTCTTTGACAGAAATAATGACAGTCTATTTACCTTCCTTATTAAACTACTGAACTTGGACGCTAACTTTGTGTGACTCATACATGAGCATCCCAAATCCCTCTGTGTTGCAGGTTTCTGTCGTCCTTCCCCCATTTATACACAATTCAGTTCTTCTTCTCTTCCTGCCAAAGTGCATGACCTCACATTTTCTCACATTATATTCCATTTGCCAAGTTTTTGTCCATTCACTTAACCTGTTTAAAACACTCTGCAGACTTTTTATATCAGACTCATTACTTGCCTTCCCACATACTTTTGTGTCATCATCAGCTTGGCGATAACACATTCTCTTGCCTCATCTAATATTCATTAATATTTATTCTAAATAATGGTTATCCCAACAATGATACCTGTGGCACTTATTACAATTGTCACCCTAAAAATGCATCTTTTACCTCAACTCTCTGTCTCCTATTACTTAGCCAATCCTTTATCCATGCCAATGTACTATCTCTACACCGTAGGCTCTTACCTTATTCAGTAGCCTTATGTGCAGTACTTTATCGAGTGACTTTTGGACATCCATATGTATAGTACATCTACCTTTACCTATCCTGCTTGTTGAAAATTACATCGTTTATAATAGATTCTAACATTTGCCCTCTAGAAATGAGAAGGGTAGGTGGGGAGACCTGGTAGAGTTCTATAAAATAACGTAGACGTTAGATAGATTAACTGGAGTGAAGATGTATTCACTTGTGAGTGAAACCAAACCCAAGTATCACAAACATAAAAGTAACTAATAAATCCAATAAGAATCACAGAATCCCTACAGTGTGGAAACAAGCCCTTCGGCCCAACAAGTCCACACCAACCCACAGAGCATCCCACCCAGACCCATTCCCCTATAACCCACCTAATCTACACATCTCTGAACACTACGGGCAATTTAGCATGGCCAATCCACCTACCCCGCACATCTTTGAACTGTAGGAGGAAACCGGAGCACCCAGAGGAAACCCACGCAGACACGAGGAGAATGTGCAAACTCCTCACAGACAGTTGCCCGAGGGTGGAATCGAACCTGGGTCCCTGGCGCTGTGAGGCAGCAGTGCTAACCACTGAGCCACTGTGCCACCCCAAGAAATTCAGGATGAACTTCTTTACTCACAGAGTAGTTAAAATTTGGAGCTAACTGCCACAAAGGAGTAGTCAAAGTGATTAGCATAGATGTATTTCAGGCAAAGGTGGATAAATTCATTACAGAGAAAGGAATAAAAAATTATGCTGCAAGGTCTGGATGAGGAGACGGTGCATTTAGAAGATAATTTTGAGCATAAACACTTGTATAGATCAATTGGGCTGACTGACCTGCTTTATTGTTTTAAATTCAATACACTAGTGTGGAGGTTCATAGAATATTGAGACAAGTTATAATTTTATTCCTGTTTTAGCTGTTAACTGCAGTTCAATTATAATACTCTTGTCTAAATCAGAAGGTCAGCTTTCACCTTCAGGTGGACTGAATTTAAAACCCAGGGTGACACTGCAGCTCGACAGAATGCTTCACTACCTGAGGTACCATCGTGTAGTTGAAATGATGAGCCAAGATTCACCGTTGTCCCTCAGGTTAATATTAAAGTAACCCAGGGCACCAGTCCAGAAAAACCACAGGAGTTCTCTGATAATCTTGCTTATATTTAATTTACCAACCAATATCACTAAAATGGACTGTGTTATCATTATCACATTTCTGTTTCCTAGATTACAACAGTGATTACATTATATTACAGTGGTTCATTACTTGTATATGCTTCAAACTGTCCTAAGATTGCGAATGGCCCAATAATAAAGTCTTTATTTCAGTTTTAGCTTCCGTAATATTTATAGGTAGTGTTATAATCAGTTATTAGCAATGTTATTTAAGCCTAATGACAAAGTCTGAAATGTAATACTTACTGAAATAGCCATGTTCCTGGAAAGATGCTTTGGGAACACCGGAATCCTAGCATAAATACAGTACTGGTGAATAGCTTACATGAAAAGCTTATTTAGTCTTTTATCGAGGATGATTTAGCCCCTTCACGCTTTCACGCACATCAGTAACAACTCAGGCAAATGGGGGATCAATTCCCATCAAAATAAGTTATATATATCTCTAGGCAAGCTCAACTAAAAATATCAAGTATAATGATGATTTAAAGTTTCAGAGCAGCATTTCAGCTGGGCTGCACCAAGTTTTTTTTGTGTCCTCCTTTCAGTATAAATTTGCCTAGGACATTGGGACCACATTCCCAACACAATGTAGAGAATCCTGACACCCTCAAGTGCCACTCCTCATACAAGATGCTGGACAGCCTGAGTACTGACAGGCAATTTGACTGCAGGGATAATCAAACAAGCTCAATAATGTTGATATTATACACATTCCAGTGACTTTGTTAGTCTGAATGGCTCAGCTACTCAAAATCTTCATTTCATATGGAATGTGGTAAATATTTTACACTGTTTTCTCAATTCTTGATTTTTAAATCATTTTTCCTGTTTCTTATAAAAATATGCATAGTTATGCTCGAGATTTTTCACTGAAACAAATAAAAGAGAAATTAAGTAAACATTCGCAGCAATGTGGGAGTACAGATCAGACCTAATTCAGTTCAGTAACACACAGTAAAATAACTAACTTTATCCTATAGAGTCAGTTCTGATATAACACGACATTTTGTTCTCGTACAATCTCACGTTATAAGAAAATCACGCAATAGTCATGCATTTAAACTAATGGGGATAGAATCATGTTATAGTCAATACAGTTAAGGAAAGTTTGCATTCTACAAATAGTGGTCTAAATTCTTCAATCGTATTAAAGCCAATTCGCGTTGAAGAAACACACGTTACATCAGAACCGACTGTAGACTGTAATACTAGCTGCACATTTATACAGTACCTGTATGGTTCCATCAACATCTGATAAATGAGGAGGAGATTTCTGGCATTTTCTGAATCGTCCACCTTAGCAGAAAGGAAAGCAAAATGAATGAACAACAATTTATATTCATCTGCTTAGTTAGATTTTTTTAAAACTTGTTTGATTTCTCATGTCACAAATTTATAGATGAGTTTCCAAAAGAAATGAATGACAGAAAATACTTTTCCTCAAAAAAATTCACAATTTCAGCTGTATCAATACTCTGTTTCCAACCTCGTAAATTTCTATCTCGCACAGTTTTCCTTTTCCAGTAAGCTTAAAAACGGGAAAAAGATTAATCACCAGCTTGCAGCATGTTCTTCCTTACCCTTGAGCGTGGTTGAGTATAGTATTAACAAGACAGCACACAGCAATGAATTCCAACCTGGAGTACATAGTGCAGTATAAAGACCATAGCCAAGGACTACTTGTACTGCCTCACTATAATGTTAAGAGACAGTCTAGCACCTTGTTTTACCTCCGAGCTAACCAGAGCCATAATACAAAGCATTACCACATTATAATTTAAGGAAGGCAGTCAAATGCTTGTTCACAATGTATAGAGTATTAAAGCTACTGTTCAGATGCTAATAGAAAGCCAGGGTATTGGGCTCTTTGGAAATTAACCTGCACGCTTATTTGTGTACAATTTTAAGACAGAAATTACGCATCATTTAAAGTCAGTGTATAAAAAATCAATTTCCTAATTTTTTTTAATGTTAACAATTCAACAATGAATAAACAAAAGGACTGAGGATAATTTTTCTACCATCTTTCACTTTGTTCCTGATTTTCTGTTTGAAGGTTTCTGCTGTATTATTAGACCTCTCACTTTCCTCACTACTGCTGCTGCAGCAGCCATCAGAGGGTGATTCATGGGCTTTCTTGTTTCTTCTATCTTCTTCATGGCTTCTATGGCTTTTGCAATGCAACCTATAGGGAAGAAATTAGTTTGCTACTAGGGAGAGATGAACACCACAATATTGATATGAACAGAAATAAAACAGCAACATCTCATTATTTTAAATGAAATAGTATGCAATAAGAGACATTATAAAATAAAGTAAGCAGCTGGAGGTAAAAAAGGGGCACAATTTCTAAAAGGTAGGTAGTTTTTGAATATTCAAGTACAATTGAGTAGAAATAACACAGGGTTGTAACAGAAATGCAGGTGTTACTTAAAGTATTAATTAATACCACTGACTGATAGCTATTGAGTTTTACACACGTAATTATTGGTTGGATGTATGTGCCATGAGCTTTTTGAACAGGACACTTTTAAAAGCAGAGTACAAGCAACAACAATGTTGCATTTGTGAAAAACATAACCTGCTGGATGGAGACAATACTTTCACAGAGAGAGGATGCCCAATCCAATTTGTGAATATAATAAAGTTATTGGTTTTTGATTAAGCAGAGTAAACTTGCTAGGAATGGCAGATGATAATTTGAAATTTGTCAACAGTAACAAATTTTGGTTTGGGATTTGGCAAATTGTGAAATACTACAAGACAGATACGGGTTAGCAGGATGGGCAGATATGTGGCAGATGCTATTCAATGTTTAATTTTTTTTAAATTAAACATTTTGGAAGAATGTACCTCAATTGGAAAGATTTAACACACAATAAAGATGTAGTAGTTTTTAAATAAGCGAATCATTAACAAGTGAACTACCCACAATTACATAAAAGCAACAGAATCTTTGGTTAATAACAGAATTCCAATATACAAAAACAAGGGGGGCTCGTGTTCAATTAGGGTAAGACTGCTGATGGAATATCACACATACAGTTTGGGTTATCAGTTATAGAAAGGATATAAAAAGAATGGTAAAGAGTCAGTTTCAATTCAAGTAGATATCACCAGGAATGAATGGAATACAGTAACGAAGAGACACTTAAGAAGTTAAGACTTGTTTCACTGGATTGGGATATGATAACGGCAAACTGATACAGGTACTGAAAGTTCTGATAAACTAAACAGCAGTAGATTAAAATCATAGAATGGCTACAGTGGACAGTTATTCAGCCCACCCTATTTGTGCCAGCTGTCTGCAACAGAATTCAACAGTGGTCCTATTCCACTGCTAGATCCAGTAGTATTCCAAGTATTTTCTCTTCTGATAATCTTCCAATTCACTTCATATTTTAATGTTGGTCCTTGCCAAAATAATTATTCTTACTCTAGATTTTTCCTTGACATGTGTCATATCCAATTCAAACCTTGTGTGGCTATGATCCTTATGTGTTCAACGGTCCCCAACTGGCACCTGCTCGACTTCATTTCCCAAAACCAGATCCAGTAAGCCAACTTCCCCATTAGACTGGAAGCATGCTGATACAGAAAATTCTCCTCAACATACCCCAGAGATTCTTCTGCATTTCTGTCCTTTACACTACAATTAATGCTATCCCAGTCTATATTAGAATAATTACCCCCATTATAAATACACCCTTATTCTTACGCCAGAATCTTTTTCTCAGGAAGCAAAGTAGGTTACTTAGAAAATCATAAAGTAATTAGACAGAGACAACATGGTTTTGTGAAAGGGAAATTGATTTTAACTAATTTGTTAGAGTTACATGAGGAAGCAAAATGTAAGGTGTATAAAGGTGAACAAGATGTGGTGTGCTTGGACTTCCAAAAGGCACATTAGAGGTTGCTACGTAAGATAAAAGCACATAAGCGTTGGGCATAACAGATTTGCATGGATAAATAATTGGCTAGCAAACAGATAAAACAGAGGAGGGATAAATGGGCTGACTTCTCAGGTGACTGTTCACCCTGCACCATCAGAGTGCTCCGTACACTTGTAGCGTGGCTCACTTGTATTTGCTAGAAACTAAAAATATTCAGACAAATAGACCTACCTTCCACAGGGATATGGAACATGTCCAGTCATTGAGCTTTTCTTTAAATTCAATAAAAGTGTTTTTCGAACAATAATTCTCCGTGCCAACACTTCAACCGATCAGTTAATTTACTGACCAATCAGCACCTTTTATCATTCATTTAAATTGTTCCCATTGGAGTTTGGCAACATGCCTGGCCTGATGAGTGCAAGACGAAAAGCTTTAACAGCATGTTTCTATCTTCAGCAATACTTAAGTTCTATACTACATATGTATGCAGAGGATAACATCTCAAAGTAACTGAAAGCTGACTGCCTAGAATTCTAAAGTGAAATGTATTACTTTAAAACACAAAACATTATTATAATGAGTGCGGATGCAGCACTAGGGTTTCTAATAGACTGTTTTTCCCTCATTCCCCCCCCAATATGATCAAATGAAGAAATTTAAATAACTATTATTACAAAAAAAAATTACTTCTATAGCACCTTTCATGCCCTCAGGTCATGGACTCAACATGGAGTTCAACAATTTCAAATCAAAACTTCTGCCTCCATATATTTTCTTTTTGTGCTTTTATTGGTTTTTGGTTGGTAGTGACTTTACTTTCCCATTTATACATCCTCTAGACACATTGTTTGTTGCTTTTTATATTAGCAGCACTTTCATCTTGCATCATCGGCCCTGCATCTTCCATCCTATCCCTGCTTAAAACGTCGTATCTCTGAGAATTTTCAGTTCTGATGAATAGCTGCTGACATAAAAATATAATCACTGTTTCTCCCTATATGGATGATACCAGACCTGCTGAGTATTTTATGCTTTTACATTAGGGCAGATGGAGTGTCCATGCAAAGAAGTTTAACAAACTAAAGAACATACTACGTCAAACAGTGTGGCTCTCATGTCAGCACGCGAATGCTGCCAGTTTAGATTATTTGCATGATATTCTGGCTTGATTTAAATGTTAGATCGATAGATCATTAACTTCCACACCTGTCAATTCCTTCATCAATATTTTTAACAAGCTTTACGCTGTCAGAACCTGTGCAATTTCGTTGATAAGTTGTCATGAAGCCCTTAAGTTCACAGTTTATGCCAGCTTCTGTCCGATTGCAAACAGAGCATCTCTGTGAAAAGAAAACATTTCAACTTGTGAATGAAGTATCTATTTTTACTTGAAAAGGATTTTGAACATTTTAGAGAAAAAAAGCAGCAGCAATCAATTAGTCAGATATAAAAGCTGTTAAAACATAATTTTAAAAATAAACTGATAAAATACGAGTTAACCAGCAAATTGAATGAAAAATTTTAGTATTAGTTATCAATATTAATTTCAAACAGACAAGTAAAATTGTTGTTATCCTCCTGCAGGTGAGGTTTTAGCCGTCTGACTGTTGACTCTTACCTGAGCATATGTCTTTAGGCTACAGGTATGTTGTTCCTTTTGTGGTTCTGGCTTATTTTCTTCAGCCCATGTAGTGTCTTGAATACCTTCAGCATTTGCACCAGAACTGTCTGAACAAGTATACCATATTTTAAGGAAATGGCTAGGCACTCAATTTTAGAATATAATTTCCTCACTCTTGTTTATTTCTCTTATCAATCTGCAGTTTGAATCCAAGGGTCTAGTTTTAGATAAAATCCTGAAACTACTGCATCTGCTCCATGTATTTTGCAAAAACTAGTAACCTTATCCAAGCATGTAATATTGAGAATTTTTAGTTTTTTAATGATTTCATAGATCAAGGCTGAAATAAGATTCCTACTACATTACTAAATCTGCCCAACATGCTTAATGTTAGTGAGCTTCTGTTAAATTTGATATTCACTCCATTTGTATTTTTATTGCAAATATTTGGATTATTGTTCAAGTAAGTTAGTACATATTTTATATTGATGGATTGATTGTCACGTGCACTGAAGTACAGTGAAAAGCTTTGTTCACGAGCAGTACAGGCAGATCATAGTAAGCAGGGATGTACAGATCAAAAAGGCTTAGACAGAGGCGTACAGGTTACATTGCACAGGGCGTGCGACAGCGGAGATCAACGTTAGCAAGATCAGCATTATTTGAGGCTAGAGAGTCCATTCATCAGTATAATAATGGCCGGGAAGAAGCTATTCCTGAACCTGCTCATGTGTGTGTTCAGACTTCCATATCTTCTGCCTGACAGAAGAGGTTGTAGCAGTGTGATGGGTCTTTTATGATGTTGGCAGCATTTCCGCAGCAGTGAGCTGTGTATATGGAGTCCATGGATGGAAGGTTGGCTTCTGTGATGGTCTAGGCTGTGTACCATCTTCTGTGGTTTCTTATGGTCCTGGGAGGATCACTTGCCATACCAGGCTGTTATGCACCCAGATAGTATGCTTTCAAAGGTGCATCTGTAGAAATTGGTGGGGGTCCTTATGGACATGCCAAATTTCCTGAGCCACCCAAGGAAGAGGAGTTGTTGTGCTTTCTTGACTGTCGTATCTCTGTGGGAAGTCCAGGACAGGTTGTCGGTTATCGTCACTCCAAGGAACTTGATGCTCTCCATCCTCTTCATTTCCATTGATGTAGATGGGGGCGTGTTCTCCTTTCTTTCTGAAGTCAATGATCAATTCTTTAGTTTTGCCGACATTGAGAGAGAGGTTGTTTTCATTGCACCACGTCACCAAGTGGTGTCTCTGTCTCCCTTCTGTATTTTGACTCATCGTTGTTAGACATCCATCCCACTATGGTGGTTTCATCAGTGAACTTGTAGATGGCATTCGTTCGGAATTTGTCAACAGTCATGGGTTTACGGGGAGTACAGTAAGGGGTTGAGGATGGATCCTTGGGGAGCTCCAGTGTTGAGTGTTATTGTGGAGGAGGTGCAGTTACCTATCTTCACTGATTGTGATCTGTGGGTCAGAAAGCTGAGGATCCAGTTGCAGAGGACGAAGCCCAGACCAAGGTCACGCAGTTTTGAGATAAGTCTGGAGGGTTTTTTTGAAATGAAGGTCCAACAGTTGAAAATGGGATAACTGCAATTGAATCATCTTCAGATCTAGTCCAATTAAAGTTTGGGTCATGTTACTTAAAAAGTTAACAGCTAAGAAGGTAGAATTAGAAACAGTAGGTGGACTTGCTGAACTAGAGACTTGCAATAATGACAGTCCAGAAATACTGTTGTTCAGTGTGTTAAGGCTAAAATAGTTGAAAGCATTCAGTGAACTTTGAATAAAACCCATTTACTTCATCAGATCAAGGAAAAAAGTTGTAAGTGAACGATATTAATCCAATTCAGCTTGGGGATAGCTCAGAGCAGGCTATACCATCATGGAGATGTGTGGAGTATAGGAATGTTCTCTAGTTTCAATGTATCCATGCATTTGCTGCAAGAGTCTGAAGCTGTAACGGTAGACTTCAGGCAGTTAGCACTCAGGTGAAGTCCTAAGACGGTGTTTAAATGTGCTGTGGAAAGCAGTTCAGGTTAAAAAGAAACCCTAGAAGCCATTGATAGCTCAGCACAGTTGAGAATTGTGTAGAGGAAGCCCATAATCATTATTTGCTTGATGCAGCCAAGAAAGACTGCAATTATAGAAATTTAATAGCACTTCAGGTGAAGCTAACTATTTGACAGAAACTGGTACTGTGCAGGAAATTAGAATCTTGCGAACAACCTCAGGAGTCCTGGGGATCTTGATATTAGTTGAAAAGATTGAACGGCCAGGATATAAGCAAAGATTCAAGCAGTGTAAGTCAGAGATACTTTCATGCAATCTAAAGCTAGATTTTCAAAGGTGAAAAATTGGAATTCCTTAATAAAGGAGGCAATTTTAATGATATGTGATGACCCATAGTTTCAAACAACAGGTAGAATTTTTCGCAACTACAATCACCATTTATATTGCAGTCTGTAAGGTGTTTGATCATTTTAAACAATGCTTTATGTAACTAAATAACAATGCAAGTTAGAAAAATAATATAAACCACAACAGTCGTATGACTGGAAAAGACGTGGAGAAGTAAATTATTTCAATAAGTACTGATCTAGCTTATATATCCTACTAAAACTTATTTGGCAGCCAGTTTTACATTTGATGATATTTTCTCCCGAAACTCAGACTCCAGATTTTCTGTCCCAATGATACAGAATATCAGAGCTACTTAACAGAAAAGTATTAATTATCAGCAATATCTGTTGGTTCTTAGAGGAACAAAATGACAAAGTAATTCCAGTACCATAACCTATTGTACAATTCTGATATACCTTCAGCAACTATGTCAAATAAGGTCCAAGAATAGACTGCATGTCGACTAAAAAAAGTTCCACCAGCAGCTGTTCCAAAACCCCACAAATTTCAAATCTCAAATCAAGACCAAGAAAGCAATGTAGAAAATAAGGGTTAAATAAAGCCGCAATTGTTGAATATCCAAAACGGAAGTTGTAAATAAAGAGCAAATTGTCAACATCCACAAATGATTTGAGGGAAACCTTCATCTCAACTCCAGTCCCCCCTCATGGTAAATGGCAACTTTTCATTTACCTTTTTATTACTTGCTGAACCTACATATTAACTTCATGTTACCTAAATGCCAAGATACCCAGATCCCTCTTTAATAGAGCTTTGAAATCTCTCTCCATTTAAATTGTATATTGCTTTCCTATTCTCTCTGCCAAAACAAACAAGTTCACATTTACCCACATTATACTCAATATACTAAACTTTTGCCCACTTACTTAATTTACTCACCATGGTTGCAGACTATATAAATTCCAATTTATCTCACAACAGTACTTTGTGATCTTCTGCACTGGTTTTATAGCTTTCAAGTTTAAGTAACTTTTTTACATTACTTCTTTCGACTGGACAAACTCGGTTTATTCTCACTTGAATGTCTAAGGAAGGATATGCTGGCACTAGACAGGGTGCAGAAGACGTTTGCAAGAATGATCCCAAGATTGAAGGCTTGTCAATGAGGAACAGTTGAGGAATCTGAGTCTGCATTCGATGGAGTTTGGAAGGATGAGGGGGGATCTCATTGAAACTTACAGAATACTGAGAGGCCTGGAGAAGATGTTTCCACTAGTAGGAAAGACTATGACCTGAGGTCACAGCCTCAGAGTGAAGGGATGACCCTTTAGAATTGAGAGGAGTAGGAATTTCTTCAGCCAGAGGATGGTTGAGCTGTGGAATTCATTGGCACAAAGGATTGTAGAACCAAGTCACTGAGTGTATTTAAGACAGAAATAGATATGGTCTTGATTGGTAAGGGGTCAAGGGTTACAGATATGGCAGGAGAACGGAGATAAAAAACATATCAGCCATGATCAAATGACGAAGCAGACTCAATAGGCCAACTGGCCTAATTCTGCTCCTATGTCTTATGGAGGCTGAGGAACAACCTGAGACAGTCTTACAAAACTATGAGAGACATGGATGGAATGGATAGTTGGACTCTCTATCCCAGTGTAGAAATGTAAATTACTAGGGCACATAGGTTTAAGGTAAGAGGTGGAAAATTTAAAGAAGATGTCAGAGGCAAGTACTTTTTCAACACAGAGGGTGATAAACACCTAGAATGCGCTGCCATGAGGAATTGTTAGAAGCAGATACAATAGTAACATTTGAAGCATCTTCACAGATTCATAAATAAGTAGGGAATAGAAGGTTACAGACCGCTGAGAGGCAAAAGGTCTTCAGTTTAGAAAGGCGCCATGTGTCAGCGCAATTTTGGTGGGCAGAAGGGCCTGTTCCTGTGCTGTACTGTTCTTTGTTCCTTCAACCAATTAGCAATAAGCCTTGCCCAACCAAGGCCAATCAAAAAGTAATAATATAATTGATCATGCTGTGTATTGTAGCTTGGAATTAAGAGCCTAATAATGACCATAAGTCCATTGTCGATTGCTGGAAAAACCCATATGGTTCACTAATGTCCTTTAGGGAAGGAAACTGCCATTCTCATCTCGTCTGGCCTATATGTGACTCCAGAACCACAGCAATGTGGTTGACTCTTAACTGTCCTATGGGCAATTAGGAATGGGCAATAAATGCTGTCTAGCCATCATCACCCTCACTTGTGACTGAACTTTTTTTAAAAAAATCAACTTTTTTTTTCAGTAACCAAAGTTTGAAAGTTAAGTTATCATGCTGTCTAAGCAGAAGCAAAAGATCCTCATGGTACTTGAGAAAGACCAGAGACCAAGTGTTGACCTCTGCCCTTAGGTGAACCAGAAAGCAAGAACTGTAGGATATCTGTAAAATGACTGCCCCACTTTAATAGATATTATAACTTAAATTTCCTGAGTTACTGCATCAAGCTGTCTCCTGTTGTCTTATTGGTTAAAGATTCAAATGAACAAATTCGTACTGAAATTCGAGTTTAAAAAGCAACTGAAACTTACAGCATATATCGGCAATTCAAACTTTTATATACAGGCATAAAAAATCTCTCAGGAACATTGGAACATGAAAATCTGATATTCAGCCCATCAATTTTTGCATTGCTATTCGATTTGGTTCGTAAGGTCTGATCTTTTTTTGTCAGAACAGTTAAGTCTTGAAAATCAATAAGGCTTTCATATATGGTTGACCTACGACTGCACATGGGTCGTTGCAGATATTTATAATGAGGGTTATACATTTCATTATTGTGGATTGCAAGGATCACTCACTGATGCTTGTTATGACCAAAGTCTGTGGGCATAGACTTACTGAGTCCTTTATCTCCATGGTCATTCAGTGATAATATAGTCTTTTGGCTGCAAGAGGGACAGGAGGTCAAAGGCTTGGATAAAGGGTACCGCACTTCCACACCAAGCTCTGAATTTTTCCTTCAGCTAACAAAAATGTCATTGGTCCTTTATCCATGCTTGTCTAGGATACGACTTATCACATCAACAAGATGTGTTTGTTCCCATCAAATATGCTTTACATTTGATCAAAAGGGGTTGTGGGTAGATCACCCATGGGGAGCTAGTTAAGGAGGCAAGAGAATGTGTCCAGAAGGACAGTAATGCACTGTGACATTTGTATTCTTCAGAATCTTAACAGAAGTAATGGGGACATAATTGCAACATGAGGATGGATTTTATGAGGCAAGGGCAAAACTTTGAATTGCCTTCTCTTTTTATTGCAGTGATGTTGCATATTCTGCTCTTTTCCAAGAGTCACACTGCTTTTTCACATTAGCTGTGACAAAGAATGATAGCAGAAAGTCGAATGCAGAGCCAGCTTTGCAGTATTGCTCTGTTATCTAGGACAGATCTAATAGGTTTGGTTGTATTATATTTTAAGGGGAATAAATAAAGTCCTCGAGGTAGTGTTTGATCCGCAATTGCAGAATTAGCTTTGCAGGGGATGCAGTCAGCAAGCCAATAGATAAACAAGGCTTTAGGATCTCTTCAGGGTGAAACATCTTGTCTACTTTATCTAAATTCTGTCTTGCCACATCTGTAACCCATACAGAGGAACCTCAGGGCAATTGCCGATACATTACAGGACTGGCAGATCCAACAAATCCAGAAGAGCTTTAATGAGATGAAGATTTGTTACCAGTAAACCATTGTTAAAACACTGGATGTTCCCTGATTTTGAATAACTTTTCTCGAGATTGGTAAAAACAGTTAGTAGGACCAAGCACAATGGCATCCAACCCAATACCCTGACAAATTATTTGGGTACAAAGCATTTGATTTTGAACCATTCTGCAATGCATCACTGATGGCCTAACAAGTAGGCTATCTGATCAAAAGGCTGCTTGTTTGCAGTGAAAACACCAAGGTAGATGTGTTTACGTCATTTACAATGATGCATCTGTCTGCTATTATCCCTTGAGATCAGACCTCACTTGAACCAACTTTGGTTTGGATCAGATGAAGTGTCAGTGATGTGAACACTCCATATTGTCTGTATTTTTTGAGTTAACTATGGCTTCTTTAGATGCAATATACATCATGTGGTAATGTTACGGTGCACTGCAATTTAAGTGATGATCAATCCTGCATCTTCTACAATACATAAGTGTACTCTGAATTAATCACTTCCACATTTTCATCACATAATAATGTGTAATCAAACTGCTTCAGATTAAATCAATTTGAAAGTACTGCCAGTATTTAAGTTGAATGCCGAATGTAAATCCGTTGGAATGTCATGCTGAGTTTGTACAGGAGGTTGATGAGGCCTCTTCTGGAGTATTGTGTGCAGTTCTGGTCACTCTGTTATAAGAAGGATATCATTATAAAAGATTTACCAGGATGTTGCCAAGAATGGAGGGTATGAGTTATAAAAACAGGCTGGATAGGTTGGGACATTTTTCACTGGAGTCGAGGACGTCGTGACCTTATAGAGGTTTATAAAATCATAAGGGGCATAGATAACGTCAATAACAAAGATCTTTTCCCTAAGGTGGGAGAGTTCAAAACTAGGGGGCATATCTTTGAGGTGAGAGGAGAAAGATTTATAAAAGGACACGAGCGGCAACTTTTTAACAGACAGTGGTTAGTGTGTGGAATGAACTGCCAGAGGAAATGGTGGATGCAGGTACAATTACAACATTTTAAAGACATTTGGATAAGTACATGAATAGGAAAGGTTTGGAGGGATATGGACCAAACGCAGGCAGGTAGGACTAGTTTGGTTCGGAAACATGGTCGCATGGACGAGTTGGACCAAAGGGTCCGTTTCTGTATGACTATGACTCTGTGTCTTTTACAGTAATAGCAACTATTTAACAAATGTGAATTTCACAAGTAAACAATGGGGAACTTGGATTTCCTACAATCCTGCTCATACAAAGACATAAAAAACTAGAAATGAAATACTATAGATGCTATACATCTAAAATAAAAACAAAAAATGGTGGATACACTCATTAGGTCAGGCAGCATTTGTAGAAAGATAGAGTTCACATTTTGAGTCTGTGACCCTTCATCACACTTCCAAAGTATTAACTCTTTCTCTCTTCACAAATGCTGCCTGACCTACTGAGTATTTATAACATTATTTTTGCATTTATTTAAAGGAGATAGTTACATTTAAGTTGAGTCGCTAACAGCTGTACGCACTTTAGAACAATAATTGTGCAAGAGCACTTTACCTGCAAACTTCATGGATTTCATTTTCACTGGTTATACCATTGTCAGCCTTCATGCAGGAGTAGAGACACAGCATCCGGTAGCATGTTACAGCAGTTTTAACAGAAACTCAAATGCAATGGTAATTCTAAATATAAAGACAGAAAGACAGAAAATTGCACAAAAATTGCTCACTTTCAGCGTCAAAGTTACAATGTCTAACAATCAACATGGCTAACAATTATATTGAAAATTAAATGTGATCCAGCCAGATTTAACTGACATTTAAATATAAAAAAGGAGTACAAGAAGTCAAACTTCTTTATTTAAAGCTAATGAGTGCCTGAGAACAAGTCGACATCACTTTGCTAAAAGGAAATCCTGTTTGACAAATTTGGGTTTTCAGAGAATGTAACCAGTGAGGTTAATAAAGGGAAACAAGTAGATGTGGCATACTTAGGAGGTGGTGGCATAATGGTAATGTCACTGGACTAGCATTCCAGAACCCCAAGCAAATGTTCTGGGCAGATGGTGAAATTTGAATTCAATAAAATCTGGAATAAAGAGTTGGTGACATGTAGTCAGTATGATTGTCATAAATCCAATCTGATTCACTAATGTTCTTTAGGAAGAGAAATCTGCCGTCTTCATTTGGTCTAGCCTACATGCGACCCACAGCAATATTGTCGACCCTCTGGACAAATAGGAATGGGCAATAAATGCTGCCCTAGCCAGTGATGCCCACATCCCATGAACAAATTTTTTAAAAGGCATTCAACAGAGTGCAACACAAAGGTTTAATTCACAAGATAAGGACTAGTAGTGCCGTGGGAGTAGGCATGTTGAATTGCCTGGCGGTGAATAGGGAAGTACCACAAGGGTCAGTGCTGAGGCCTCAGCAGTTTACCACATATATATTTATGATTTAGCTGAAGGGGTAGAGAATAATCTATTTTAGTGTTCTCATGATGCAAAGCCAGGTGAAAAGGCAAAGTGTGGGAAAGTGAGGGGGGGAACTCAGAGGCTAAAAAATAAACAGATAGATTAAAGGAGTGGGCAAGATGGCATTGATTACATGGTAGGGCCATGTGCATTTATTAATTTTGATTGCAAGAAGAGAAAAACAGAACTTTTTTTTAAAATGTGTGAGTCTTTGATGTTCAAAGACACTTAGGTGTGCTTGTATAAGAAGTGCAGAAAGATAGCATGTAGGTACAGCAATAATTAGGAAGGCAAATTACATTTTTGGCTTTATTGCAAGAGATCTGAAGTTCAGAAGTTAAAAATAAGGTTCATTTTATTAAGAGCCAAGTAAACAACATTCAAGACATAGCAGTGGGGTGGAGGAGGAACAGAGAGAAAAGGAAAAAAGAGGATTGCTCTACCAGACCTGCGAACAGGCCTGAAGTTTCTTGATAAGGTCGTTGCTGAGAGACTGTTTCCACTACTTGGAAAATCTAAAACACAAGGGCACAGTCTCAGGATAAGAGGTCAATCAGTTGGAACTGAGACAAGGAATTACTTCACTTAAAAGTTTATGAATCTTTGGAATTCTCTGCCTCAGGATCTTAGGGATGCTGCATCATTGAATACTAAGGAAGACAGATTTTTGGTCTTTTACGGATTCAAGGGAAAAAGGGAGTGGGAGAGAAGTTGAAGCATAAGATTAGGTATGACCATACTGCATGGCAAAGCAGGTTAAATGAGCTGCATGGACTACAGTTATTTCTTGCATTCATATTAAATTATGTGTTTACTTATTAAGAATAATTCAAACATTTCTGCTAAATTAAATTTCACTGACATATTTCCCCAAACATACTATAAGAATTCTAATGTCCACAAAGATGGTGGAGGTTTCTAGTTACATTCATAAAACAGTTTAACATCATAAATTTCAGACTACACCATGATCTGTTAAGAACCTATGATAGGTGGAACATGATCTTGTTGAGGTTTCAAACAATGACAGAGACACTTCATTCCTTCTCGATTCAGTGTGTGACTCTAGCTGTTGTCTGTTAAGATGATGTTCAGTGGAAAAGTAATTTAATTATGGGTAAAAGAACAACCTATTGGAATGCTGGGCAAGATCGTAGAGCCATCACAGAGACATGGTTACAAGGACATCAAAGCGGGGAACTCAATATTCAAGGGTACAGTATTTCAAAATGACTTTAAAAGGACCGACAGGAAGGAAAAAGTGGTGAGGTAGCATCATTGGTATGGGATGGAATAAGTGTGATAGCAAGAAGTAATCTTGGATTGTAAGATGTAAAATCCATATGGGTGGAGGTAAGAAATAAACAGGGAAAGAAGTCATCGACAGAAGCACACTAGGGGCCCTCTCATGGTAACTTTTTTTTTATTCATTCACAGGACAAGGGCGTCACTGGCTAGGGAGCATTTATTGCCCATCCCTAATTGCCCAGAGGGCAGTTAAGAGTCAACCACATTGCTGTGGGTCTGGAGTCACAAGTAGGCTAGACCAGGTAAGGATGGCAGTTTCCTTCCCTAAAGGACGTTAGTGAACCAGATGGGTTTTTCCGACAATCCACAATGGATTGATGGTCAACATTAGATTCTTAATTCCAGATATTTATTGAATTCAAATTCCACTATCTGCCATGGCAGGATTCGAACCTAGGTCCACAGAACATTATCTGGATCTCTGGATTAACAGTCCAGCGATAATACCACCAGGCCATTGCCTCCCCTCATGGGACTATATTGTGGGACAGAGAATAAATCAGGAGACAATAAGGATATGTAACAAAGGTGGCACATTAATCATGGGTGACTTTAACCTTCGTGCAGACTGGGAAAGCTGAAGAAATGCTCATATCTTAAGCAGGACCCTCTTTTGGATCATGCCCTGATGTATAATTGAACCTTCTACCATCACCATTTCAGACAATCCTTCCAGATTATAAAAACCCACTGTAAAAAGAAATCTTCTCCCTGAAATGTTTGCTTTTTAACTCAAATCTGTGTCCTATGGACATGATGTCCCGCCAGTGAGAATATTTAATATTTATTTACTCTCGCAAAATCCTTCATAATTTGGAACACCTGTGTTAAATCTCCATTTCTTCTGCAAGTTCTAAAAATATTTAGAAATGGACTATAAATATTAATACTTCCATTTCACATTAAAAAGTTCCAATGCTTGTGTTATTTCTATCATGTTCCTGTCAGAAACCAAAGTACTACTACACACAAGGTAAAACAAAAGATTGTAGATTTTTGAACATTTGCATAAGGAAAAATAAATTTATCAAATTAGTAACTGTCTGCAATTACCTCTTAATATTGGGCACTGAACTGCCACAGAAGTCTGCATTCTTGGAACTTGTGGATTCCTTAGATACAGAAGAAAACTGGTTGAAAATAAATTGTAAACTTTAGTTTAACAATCCATATGACTCGCATGTTCAATAAGTAATTATTTTGTTACAATCCCAATGGAGGCCATTAATGTTTGAAGAGAAATTCAAAATCCCTATTAATTACCAAAAAGAAGAATCTACAAGATTCCATAGATTAGGCCCATTGTTTGACTACAGAAGAATCAGGGAAAGCTATAACTGCTAAATAAACACTACCTTAGGTCATCATTTACTTTGGAAACTTCAATAAATCACAATATCACATACTCTGAAATTAGATTGTCAAATTCTAATGAACCTCCCATTTTCACCAATGACATCTTCAGCTTGATATGAGATTTTGAAAGTTAACCACTTTCTTGGAACTCATTCTAAACTTATCCACAGCTCTCTGCAAGATCTGGGACTTTTGAGTGCAATTTCTGCACAGTGATTTCATCAGAAAATAATAAGTACCCCTGATTTTTAATAGCTCTACTGTCCGGATACACATCTGTTCCACAGTTTTGAGAAATTATTTTCCTCTGCCTTCTGAGTTCAGGGCTTATGCTTATCAACTTAGGTGATTTCAGCTTCAATCCCAAAGACCCTCTGACTTCTCCAAGATGAACTACTTGCCTCTGACTGAAAAACTCAGATAACATCAAAGGGTTGTTCTTTGCAACTATCTCTATAGCAATGTAGCATGTAGCATACTTGGAATGTTCTGAGTAGAAGAATTTTACATTAATTAACTCAGTTTCTACACCAAACATTTGATTCAGAGACCTACATGAATAATGTAAATTTCTAATGAAGTCAAGACTAATCTCCTTTGGCTTGCTGTCTGCAGTTTCCCAGATTAGTGAAGACAACTATTATTTTCATAACTTTCATCCTAACTCTTGACTTGTCAAGTACACATGGAAGGACCTCTCGTATGCAAACACTGTTGGTAGTCTGGCACCATTAACCTCCAGAGGTTCAGTTGGCTTTCATTTAATTCTTCACAAGTAACAGTTATACTTCTAAATTATTAATATAAACCTGGAAATTAGATGATTATTACAAGCCATAGTCCATGAAAGACCATGGCCATCAAATACAGATTTAAAATACAATTACCTATCCTCATCCAAAGAAATACAATTTTGGAAGAAGAAACTGAAATGTTTTAAAATTGCATTAGTCCAATGCACTTGTAAATGTTGTAGGCAAACAAATTAGTTCACCAACAGTGTCTTTAACGTACAGTAGCTAAGCTTCCCAAGGTACTTCATACAAACGTACAAAATAGGAGCAGAATTAGGCCATTTGGCCCCTCCAGCCTGCTCCATCATTCCATAACATCAGATCTGATCTGCTTGTGCTTTGAACTACACATTTCCATTTACCTCCAATAACCTCTGATTTCCCTGTCCAACAAGAATCCATCTTTCTGAGGCACAGTTCCAAGGTTGTACAATCCTCTAAACAAAAAACATATTGTTCTTATCTCTGTAAGGGGCAACCCATAATCTTAAAAAACAGATTGCCACAGTATGGACTGACCCATAAGAGGAAACATCCTTCGCACATCTACCTTGTCAAGACCATTCAGGATCTTATACACTTCAACCGAGTCACCCTTCACTTTTCCAAACTCCAGTGGAAACAAACCCAGCTTGTCTAACCTATCCTCATGCTGAGACATTCATTATTTTTATTTTTATCATTTTTGGTTTGGAGCCATGAACTAAGAGCTGAAGGTGGTCTTTGGAATGTGAGCAGCACCTCATTTTTTTTTAAAAAAGAGAACAAATGGGCTGATATTTGCTTATGAGACTGGGCCTGGAAGTTAATTGCAGGTTAATTTTTATTCAGGGTACTATACCGACATCTCGATTCCGGACAGGCATTTTGCTGAAACAAATAGCAGATGTTTGAATGTTTAAGTCAGATGGACTGTGCCTGCCAAAGCAGATGGAGGTTTGATTGCTCCCTGGTTATCCTCTAATTATGAACTTATTGAAAGTTCGGACAATAGATTCTCAGTTCTAAGAGTTACATGTCATCGGGTGGCTGCTACTACAACCAACATTTAGTCGACATCTAAATGCCTTTAAATTGTTATGAAGATCTCTGCCTCTATCACCCTTATAGGCAGGGAGATCCAGATTCCCATCGTACTTCAGATGAAAAAAAATTTTCCTACACCTCCTGCCCTTACCTTAAATCTATTCTGCCTGGTCATTTATCCCTCTACCACGGGGACAAGTTCTTTCCTGTCTCCCTATCTATGCCCCTCAAAGTTTTATATATCTTGATCATGTCCCTTCTCATTCTCCTCTGCTCCAAAGAAAAGTCCCAGTCTATCCAATCTCTTTTCATAATTAAACCTCTGCAGCCCAGACAATATCCTGGTTAATCTCCTCTATACTCTCTCCAGTGCAATCACATCTCTTCTATAATGTGGATTCCAGAACTGCACACAGTACTCTAATTGTGGCCCACCAACTTTTTGTGCAGTTCCAGCATACCCTCCCTACTCTTAAAGGTGTGCATGTCTAACAGTCCTTGTAGGTGCCAGGCCTAAAGATAAGATGGTAAAAAAGTAATAAGCGATGATTTCTTTCACTGGCAAAGGTGTGAATCCAAAAGCAGATACGTAATGCTGGAACTAAATAAGACACTGGTTGGGCCACTGCTGGCATTCTGTGTACAGTTCTGATCACCACATTAGAGGAGGGGCATATCTGATAAAGAGAGAAGACACAGGAGACTTAAAAAAAGTGTTAATGAGGGGCTTAGATAGAGTGAATTGGAAGACCTGTTTCAATTACAAAAAACAAATATTTAAGGTGATTGGTGGAAGAATTAGAGGGGATATGAGGAAAACCTTTTAGCACAGGGTGAAGTGTGGCCTCTAACATCTACTTATTCTTTCCACCGTGTTCTGCCATTCATCAAGAACTTCATGCTTATTTGACCCCAGTTTCGAATCTCCATTCTTGCTTTCAAAAATATAGCTTCTACTAATCCTGAAACCTCCCACCTTAACCTTGAATGTTTATGGTTACTGATCATTGTTCATGGCTTTTATACTTTGTCATTATTTGGATATGTCTTCCCACATTTGAAGAATGCTATAGAAAAGTTATCAACTCCACATTTAATCAATTGCAAAGCTAAGTACTGATAGTACTCCTCAGACCACTTTTGAAATGAGTCTGTTCATTATTCATAGTATGTGGTACCTTAGAAAATTTTACTTAATTTTGTTTTATTTAATTTAGAATCTGCATGAGTGACTCAGACAGTTTCCAGGCCAGATTTCAATGTAGGATTTTAAAAAGACATAAACAAGTTGTTAGTTTGATGTGCTGAATGGCTAGCTGCTGTTTTTATTTCCTTGGAGTGCACTTTTCTTCCATTCACTCTTGTTAAATTTTAAATTCAGACACCTTTTTACACAATTAGAAACTAGCATTGAACACAAACTTTCTCCATCATTCATCACCAGGATTTGGAACTTAAAATACAGCACCATCAATAAAATTGGTTTGAGAGTCATCAAAACAATTTTAGCTCTGCCACATTATGGATTCTATTCTCAATCATAAAAGCTTAGCCTATATCTATAACAATAAACCACAAAAAAGCTACTTCATTCAGAATTGTTCGCTAAATCTAAGAATTCAGTTCTGCATTAAAAAGTAGTTAGGACATTAGGGGAGCGTCAACCTAAGTAAAATAGCTGAAAATAGTATTAACCTGAGTTCATCATACAACTTTGCAAGAATAGTCTATAACAACTGACTAGGTACAATATTATTCAGAAGTGATCACACTCTAGTAATGACTAAGTTTTTTTTCCCGTAAAGTGTATTGCAAGAAATTAACTTTGCAGGTAAAGATTTGCAACAAAAATACTTTCCAAAAAAAGTATCTTCTCCAGTGTTTGGTTTTGAAGGAATAATTTAAACTTTTTATTTTGTCATAAAGAAGCTATAGTGTTTAATCTTCACAATAATTTGGACAAAATTACAAGGAAAAAGTCCTACTAAAAGTAAAGTTCAGTGGTTTTTCAGAACAATTGCAGCTTCCGAAGGCAGGATATAAATACAGGAGAGAAACAGCTGGCAAATTAAGATGAGGGACTGGGTGGGGAGGCACTGAGGTGGAATAAGTTCACCTCATATCCTACAACAAATAGCTTTGACTGAGTGTGCCATGTAAATAAAGATTATAAAAGTGAGCTTTCATTGTCAATTGTCATTTGTTACAAAACATACAGTGCTGGCAAGGCTAGGATTTAATGGACATCTCTAACTGTTTTCAAGAATATAGTAATAAGGTGTTTAATGAAACATGACAGTCCATGTTGTATACATCCAATACAGGATTGAATGGGGATAGGAGGGGAAATTGCTGTTCATGGTACTCTCATCTAGCTGCTCCCCTTGTCATTCTAGGTGGTAAAGGTCACAGGTTGGGAGCTGCTGACAAAGCAGCATTGATGAGTTACTGCAATACACTGCACCAGCAGTACACAGGACTGCCAAACCGGTGAAAGGGGAAGAAGCTATGTAAACTGGTGGATAGGAGCCAAAATAGTGGCCTTTTTCCCTCTGTTTAATCTCCATCCTATTTCTTGAGTGTTGTTCTAGCTACACCCACCCAGGTAAAGGGAAGTATTACATCACACACCTGACTTACCACATGAAATAATGGAGAACATCTGGACAGTCAAGAAGTAAGCTATTCACTCCAGAAGCCATAACTTTATATGTCTGGTCCTGTTTAGTTTTTGATCAATTATTGATAGTGGAGAGTTCAGTAATGGTAATAACATTGAATGGTGTGGGGAGGTGGACAGATTCACTCATTGTGGTTATTGTGTTCTTATTTTGGTGACAAATGTAACTTATCTGTCTATGTCTGGATGTTATCCAGGTTTTCCCACTTGTGGGAATGGATACTTCGTGAATTCCATATTTTTAGGTAATTTTTTCAGATTCAATTTTTAGCATTAACGTCGAAAACAAATCATAGAGAATGCAAGAAATTATCATCAGAAAGCAGAGTTCATTGAGGAAAAAAAAAATCACTGTTTATTGAATGACCTGTGAAACTCCGACTAGATATGGACTGGAGAAAGGCACAGTTAATCTAAAAATATACAAAGTGAAAATAACCATCCTGCCTCATCCTACATCCCAGATCTTGTCCCACAGCCAAGTAGGTTACAGCACTTCAGATGTCTATTTACATACACATCAAGTGTTCAGAGGATTTCTGCGACTATCACTTTCAGGCATCCAGCTCCAGACTCTCACCACACGATTGGTGCAAACGTTTCCCCTCAAATCTCATCTAAACATTTGGACACACACTGCAAATCTGTGTCTTGGGTTACGCATCCCTCAATGATCTGAAACATTTCAGCAAGGTTTCACGTCACTTAAAGAAAACAACCCTAGCCTATTAATTGTCTTCATAGCTAGAATTCTCCAGGCCAGGCAACATCCTTGTAAATTGCCTCCATTGTGCAATCATTTCTTTCCTACTGTGCAGTGACCAAAACTGTACATGGTATTCTAGGTGTAGCCTAATTGCATTTTATATTGTTCCAGCATAGCCCCAGTTCTTTTATTCTATGCCTCAGCTAAAAAAAAGCCACATGCCTTCTTGACCACCTTACTTACCTCTGTCCAGCCACTTTCAAACAAGTGAAATTGCACTCCAAATTCCTCTGCAGTTCTCTATTCCGAGCAACTGTGTATTCCCTTGCCTTGTTAGCCTTATCCAAATGCAATTCCTTACATTTCTCCAAACTAAACTCCATTAGCCACTGCTCTACCCATCTGACTGGTTGATTAGTATCTTACAAAATCATCTGTGTCTCTTCAGCAAATTTGATGATGTGGTTTTTATCACATCTAAATCATTAACGTGCAAGTGAATAACTGAGACACCCAACACTGATGCTTTGACACCAATGGTCGTATTCTGCCAATCAGAATTCCTTCTCTACCTCGTTCCACACAGCTAATTCTGTGGAGAGAGAAACAGAGTTAACTTTCAGCTCCAGTATGGCTTCCATTAGTTGTCTAAAGATGAGTCATCGTTTTGGGTCCGGTGACCCTTCCTCCAACTTCCTCCTCCTTGGAGGAAGGGTCATCGGACCCAAAACGTTAACTCTGTTTTCTCCTTCACAGATGCTGCCAGACCTGCTGAGCTTTTCCAGCAACTTTGTTTTTGTTCCTGATTTACAGCATCCGCAGTTCTTTTGGTTTTTATTAAAGATGAGTCATACCAGACTCAAAACATTCATCTGTATCTCCCTCTCTCTCTCCATAGATGTTACCAGACCTGAGTTTCTCAGCATTCTCTGTATATGTTTTAAATCTAACATCACTGTTGCAAAAACAAGTTTTGATCAGTGAGATGCACCTTGGTTTTTAATACTGACAACAGCACAAAAAAAAGTTTTATATTTGTAGGTAGTTGTTAATGTCTCCATGATCATTTGACGTTTTTTAAGCTAGAGTCCTTGAGATATACAGTACTGAAACAGACCCTTCGCTCCAACTTGTCCACGATGACCAGATATCCTACATAGGGCAGCACAGTGCTCAGTGGTTAGCACTGCTGCCTGACAGCGCCAGGGACCCAGGTTTGATTTCACCCTTGGGCGACTGTGTGGCGTCTGCACATTCTCCTCGTGTCTGCATGGGTTTCCTCGGGGTGCTCCGGTTTCCTTCCTAGTACTAACAATACGTGCAGGCTAGGTGGCTTGGCTATGCTAAATTGTCCATAGTGTTCAGGGATGCGTCGGGTGGGTTATAGGGTAATGGGTCTGGGTGGGATGCTCTGAGGGTCAGTGTGGACTTATTGGGCCAAAGGGCCTGTTTCAACACTGTAGGAATTCTAAATCTATTTCCCAGCATTTGGCTAATATACCCATCCAGATGGGATTTAAATGTTGTAATTGTACCAGACTCCACAACTTTCCCTGGCAGCTCACTCCATATATGCACCAACTTCTGCATGAAAAAATTGCCCCTCAGGTCCCTTTTATATCTTTTCTCTCTCATTTTAAACCTACGCCCTCTAGTTTTGGACTCCCCTCACCCCTATCCATGCCCCTCATGATTTCATAAACTCAGAGTTTTATAACTTTTGAAAGTTGTTTTTAATATTTTGGCTTCTAACTTTATGCCACGTGTACAATCAGATTTCCAACGTCAGCAATACCTGCTTTTATTTGAGATGTGGGGATGGAAGCTGGGAGACTTTCACCAAGCCCTAGTATTTCGGGGCACGAGGGTGGGGGGAGATGACAGGTGGTTGATTAGAGAAAGATAGGGACAGCCTGTTGCCCCTGACACGTTGTATCAGGAATTATTTGCACGTAGATCTGCGTTTGTGCTGATTTATGAAGTCGTGGTCAGGTTGAGGAGTGACAACGCGACGCTCCCAAATTCCACGCCAACGTTTCAGATCAATAACCTTTCAACATAAGCTTCCCGCCGGTCCCCGACTGTCCTGCCAGCTGACTCTCCAGCCTTGCCCGCCGGACTTTCACATCGAGCAGCACCGTCTAACAAATAACGGGCGACGGCAGACGGAGCCAGAATACCGTAACATCAGCGCGAAGAAAGGAGAGACCGAAATGGAAATGTCAGTGCTCCAATCCTCCGCTGCCTTCCTGCCCGTTATTAATGAAGGCGCAGGTAAAGTTACCGTCTCATCGAGTCCCGGCTAAATCCACACCACCATCATCATCCGTCCCTGTGCAGCACTAAACCTATCCCCCACGCTATCCGTCACCCCAGCAACCCCGCGTCAGTGCAGATAGTCCGGCCGTTCAAAGGTTCCGGGCTTCCTGAGGAGGAATGCGCATCTCGTGTTCAGGGAGTGCAGTGGGTCAAACCTGGGAGACTGTGATCAAAGATTTTTTTTTTTTGGAAAAAAACTCAAATATTCACCCAGCAAAGCAACGACAAACCAACAAAAGCAAAACGATAAAGTAACCAAAAAGCAACGGACATTAAGGAAATCGAATCAGTTTAACCAACCAGCAGCCTCGGTAATTCCCTCACAGATTTGGAGCAAAGCCCTGGCAGGTTTATGTGAAGACACTGCCCAGAAGCAGGGTGCCCAACTGTCATCACTCTGTCTCTCAGCCATGGGGAATTTTCAACACCTTCCTGAAGAGGAGAAGAAATAATTTAAAGTAAGATCGCCAATTCCGAAAAGTTGGACTAATTCATCAGAATTGATTACGTTTTTATGTGGTATAAAATGTGCTCCTTTACACATTTAGCAGACACCAATTGTTGCATAACTTCCAATTGAGATGACAGATTTGAGGTACAAAAACAGAAGTTGCTGGAAAAGCTCAGCAGGTCTGGCAACATCTGTGAAGAAAAAAATCAGAGTTAATGTTTTGGGTCCGGTGACCCTTCCTCAGACAAGAGGGTGACCGGACCCGAAACGTTAACTCTGTGATACCGAGGTGTAGAGCTGGATGAACACAGCAGGCCAAGCAGCATCAGAGGAGCAGGAAGGCTGACGTTTCGGGCCTAGACCCTTCTTCAGAAAACTCTGGTTTTTTTTTCATAGATAGTGCCAGACTTGCTGAGCTTTTCCAGCAACTTGTTTTTGTTCCTGATTTACAGCGTCCGCAGTTCGGTGAGGATAATTTTTCTACCATCTTTCACTTTGTTCCTGATTTTCTGTTTGAAGGTTTCTGCTGTATTATTAGACCTCTCACTTTCCTCACTACTGCTGCTGCAGCAGCCATCAGAGGGTGATTCATGGGCTTTCTTGTTTCTTCTATCTTCTTCATGGCTTCTATGGCTTTTGCAATGCAACCTAAAGGGAAGAAATTAGTTTGCTAATAGGAAGAGATTTTAGACAGGTTTGAGGTGGTGTTTACTTCTCCTTGTGCTCTCCATATCTTTATTTGTTTCATTTGTTCATTTTTTGCTGCCCAGTGCAGATGACCTCCGAACATCCTGGTAGAGGCTAACTCACACTATGATGGCAGCAATGGAATATTGGGCAGACATGTGCTGGAAATGTAGTTTCAAAAGCTAAACCAGAATACAGAACAAAACACAAGTGACCAATGAGGCATACAATACCAGAACACTAGCAGCAAGGAAAGTGTCAAGAACGTGTACCAATGCAAAAACATCAATGTCATACACAGTCGAGCAAATTCAAATTTCAGAAGATGATTAAGCATTCCATATTGTTAAACTCACAACATGTCAATTTATAAGGCAATCAGAAACTTTTATAAACATGACTAACTGTCCTGAAGAGACAGGATGGTACGCACCAAAAGCTACAACAATGGGAACCAGTGCCAAAATATTACTATAATGCATCCTAAAGAGTATGTAGTTTGGAAGTGGCACTCCATGTTTCAGCCCATAAGAGACCATCTCACAGCATATAACCAATTCCATGCATTAGCAGAATCACACTGCAGTGCCAACACAAGCTCATTCTGGCTTCCTGAAATCTTTTACCTGATAGATAGCAATGGCACAGGTCTCAGTATAGTTACAATTCATGTGATTCAAACCACATCCATTCTGAGGGAACAGATCTCACATGACAAAATAAAACTACCCAATGATCTCAAATGACTCTACCCATACAGATTTGACAAGATTGAAAATTTTAATGGTGATGCATGACTGCATCGTAAGGATTTATTTAGTTTATTCTCCTGTGGGAGTTGAATGTTGTTACTGACATTTATTGCCTTTGAGCTGAGTGGCTTGTTAGTCCATTGTACACGGCTGTTAAGAACCAGCCACTTTGTTATGGATCTGAAGTCACATGACTCTAGACCAGGCAAGGGCAGCAGATTTCCTTCCCAAAGGTAAATTAATAAACCAGATGGGTATTTACAATATTGGCACTATGCCATCACCTCCTAAAGATGATGCAACTCCATTTATTGATCCTCCAAAGAAGTGCAGCATGCACATTTAGGAGATACATCAGGCAGAACTGAATGAGATGGAGTGAAATGCTATAATTCAAAGGTTGACTAGCACACAGATTGGTGTAGCTCCATCACTTATGTTTTAAAGGAAGATGACACTATAATCGTATGCCTAGTTCCAAGGTGCCTCAATCTTTCAATTAAAAGGTGTTCACACAAAATACTGATTCTGGAAGAATTAAATCCTAAATTTTCCAGAGAAAGATTCTTTTCCAAGCTAGATGCAAAACATAGCTACAATTCCATTAATTTAGCAAAATAATTCAAGGAACTTACAACATTTAGAACGCCATTTGGACAGTATGTTTCTGATGATTGCCACTTGGCTATGAGTTAGCCAAGACATATTCCAGCAGTACATGGTTAGGATTACTGACAATGTACACAGTTTTATTTTTACAGCTGACAATGTCATGGTCATACGTAAGACAAGGCAGAGCTTTTAGCTACTGATGGTAGCAGCATGATGACAATGAGTACAATGTGCCTGGTGAATGTTAGCCAGATAAGCATTTTGGGGTCCATTTATTCTCCGAATGGGGTCTGTTCTGATTCTGATAGGCATATAAATACAGTGGCTACAAAATCAAGTCAGATACTGGGCATTCTGCAGTGAATAATTCACCACCTGACTCCTCAAAGCCTGCCCACAAATAATCAGAGTAATGGAATTCACACCACTTGCTTAGATGGGTGGAACCCTATCAACAGTCAAGAAGCTCAACATGATCCAGGATAAAGTAATCTGTTTGATCAGCAACCATCCTCTACCTTAAACATATCCTCCACCAAAAGCACACCACGATGGCAGTGAATATCTTCTACGCAGTGAACTGTAGCACCTTCCAAACGTGTGCACTCTACCATCCAAACAGTAAGGGCAGCACATATATGGGAACACCAACACATGCAAGTTCCCCTCCAAACTTCTCATCATCCTGAGTTGGAACTATATTACCATTCCTTCACTGCTACTGAGTCACAGTCCTGGAACTCATTTCCTAATAGCACCATGAAGTACACCACATGGACTTTGATGGTTCAAGAATATGGTTCACTACCTACCAGCTTCCAAAGGGTAATTAGGGATAGGCAATAACTTATGGGTTTGCCTCTAATGATCACTTCCTATGAACAAATTATAAAAATGCTAATAATCAGCATTTCACATAGCCAGTTTAGTCTAATGGGGTAATTCTAACAGCATAATATGCCAATCACATAATGTACACACCACAGGAATTGATGTAATATGTCACATAACTATGATCTCTCTGCACAACCTTGTGGCATGATGTAGCGCATAGGGTGTTGTAATCTAAAAAAAATAGTGTTTTCTTTACCTCAGCAGTCTGTAAATATTTGCTATTAACCAACAATATCAAGGATCACATATTCAGTACTTAGGGGATCAGTGAGTTTGGTAGCATTTGATAACATTTCAGTATGAACTGAAAACCATATTGAGTAAGCAAAGAGCTTTTCTATTCCTTGCAAGGTTTTCTTTTTCAAATTTACATCTGCTTTCCTTTTGAAAGCTACTATAATAAATCTGCTAGCACCTCCCTTTCAGGCAGTACGTTTCAACTCATAACAACTCACTGCATAGAAAATGTTATCTTCATCTTCCCTCTTTCCTGAAATAAATCAGTGCCCTGTAGTCACTGAGTTTCTACCAGTAGAAAATTATCTTCCTTTCCCTATTAAAGCCCTTAATAATTTGGAGCATTTCCACATAAAAAATCCCATAAGGCAGTCAGGAAAAAAAAGCTCTTTTATTCAGAAAGTAACGAGAATAATGAACATGCAATAACATTGAGTCATTCGTACAAAATGTATTGCCAGCCTTCTAAACTAGAATTCCAAACTAGGATTGTCAACCTTCTGGTGTTATCCTAGAGTCTCCAGGAATTAAATATTAATCTCCAGGTGCTGCTGATAGCATCTTGAAAGAAAAATATATGTGGCATAAATATCACTGTTTACTGGTTGAAGTCAGTGTTGAGTTGCTGATTGTCATTTATGTAAATGATTTGGCTATGAACAGAGGAGGTATGGTTAGGAAGTTTGCAGATGACACTAAAATTTGAGGTTTGGACAGTGAAGAAGGTTACCTCAGAGTACAATGGGATCTTGATCAGATGGGCCAATGGGCCAAGGAGTGACAGATGGAGTTTAATTTAGATAAATGTGAGGTGTCGCATATTGGAAAGGTAAATCAGGACACGACTTACACACTTAATGGTAAAGTCCTGGGGAGTGTTGCTGAACAAAGAGACCTTGGAGTGCAGGTTCATTGTTCCTTGAAAGTGGAGTCGCAGGTAGACAGGATAGTGAATAAGGCATTTGGTATGCTTGCCTTTATTGGTCAATGCATTGATTATAGAAGTTGGGAGGTCATGTTGCGGCTGTGCAGGACATTGCTTAGGCCACTTTTGGAGTATTGCATGCAATTCTGGTCTCCTCCTGTAGGAAGTCAGAAATCACACAACAACAGGTTATAGTCCAACAGGTTTATTTGAAAACACAAGTTTTTGGAGCCTTAGTCCTTCTTCAGGTGTTAGTGAGAGAGGTAGTATCAGACACAGAATTTATAAGTAAAAAATCAAAGGTTCACACCATTGTTGAGGATGTGCCAAACAAATGTAAGATGTTGTTATATCTTTAATCAGTTAAAGCATTTTAATTGATTAATATGTATATGTAAATCCCCGAATTCCTTTCAAGTCATGTGACCCAGTCTAACTGGCACCTCTACATCCTGTAGGAAGGATGTTGTGAAACTAGAAAGAGTTCAGAAAAGATTTACGAGAATGCTGCCAGCATTGGAGGGTTTGAGCTATAGGGAGAGGCCAAATAGGCTGGGGCTATTTTCCCTGGAGCATCGGAGGCTGAGGGGTGACGTAATAGAGGTTTATAAAATCATGAGGGTCATGGATAGGGTAAATAGGCATGGTCTTTTCCCCGGGGTGAGGTAATCCAAAACTAGAGGGCATGGATTTAAAGTGAGAGGGGAAAGATATAAAAGGGATCTAAGGGACAACTTTTTCATACAGAGGGTGGTGTGTGTATGGAATGAGCTGCCAGAGGAAGTGGTGGAGGTTGGTACGATTACATTTAAAAGGGATCTGGATGGGTACATGAATAGGAAGGGTTTAGAGGGATATGGGCCAAATGCTGGCAAATGGGACTAGATTTATATAGGATAT